CGCTGTAATAAATAGTCATGAATAAGTAGTGTATGGCTGATACGGAGACAGGTAAATATCACTTGCTCTATTATATCTTTTATTTTTGGTTTCCAAAGATGTGAATGTTTGTTAACTTCGTATAGCCTTGATGAAGTGTTGTTTCAAATTTTTTGTCATTTTTTAATTATTTTTTATTCTTAGTATAGTTTTAAATCGTTTTGTACCAATATGTTACTTTCTTCGGACATCGAATTATTTGGTGCGTTTTTAGCCAGTTTATCTACAGCTTCGTTACCTTCAATTTCTACATGAGAAGGCACCAATAAATAGTGCACTTGGATGTTCTTATTTGAAATAGTTTTAAGTTCTTTTTTAATAAGAAGTAGAAAGGGCTTGTCACAGTACAACTGAGTCAGTGAGGATAATGATATTAGAGAATTTGTGATTATTTAACATCATTTTTTGTTTTTGTTTTGTATTACCGATAGTGCTTTAGAATTGGGAATAATTCAGCTGAAAAGATGGTTGTAATAGATGGTAATTTGAAACTAACTGAGGAGTGTTCCGAATAAATTTCTGCTCCAACTCTGTCTTTATTTTTGACGCACCGGTGTATACGTTGTATTGCCTTCTCCTTTCTTCTTGTCGTGCCACTCCTAGAGGAGATTGGAAATCATCATGGCCACTGCGACTTTGTTAGCAGCGCGCCTAAAGAGTTCAATCGAACTACACCCGAACCATTCACGTAGATTACGAAGCCACGATATTTTTCTTCTTCCCACACTTCTTTTGCCCTTAATTTTGCCCTGCATGATGTTTCTTAAAAGTTCGTACTTTTCACCTCTCACAATGTGCCCCAAGTATTTCATCTTTCTAGTTTTTATCTCATTTAGAATTTCGCATCTTATGTCTAAAGTTTGGAGTACTCGCGTGTTAGTGACGCGGTCCATCCATAATATTCTGAGAATGCGCCTATAGCACCACGTCTCGAAAGCTTCGATGTTTTTTATGGTCAACTGTTTTAGTGTCCAAGCCTCAACTCCATATAACAGGGTAGAAAAGACATAACACCGCAGCATTCGTATTCGTAACTTTATATTGATATCACGATTGCAAAAGAGTTTGCGCATTTTATTAAAGACTGATCTAGCGATTTCTATTCTACATCTAATCTCTTTTGTTTGATCACTATCGTCTGTAATCCAAGCACCTAGATATTTATAACAGGGCACACGCTCAATCGTTGTATTGTCTAAGATTAGCTCTGATGTTCTTTGATTTCGTGATTACCATAAATTTAGTTTTTTTCAAATTAATTTTCAAGCCGTAACTGTTACAGTATATATTGAGACTTTGAACGAGATGTTGTAGTTCTACTAGCGTTTCCGTTAGGAGAACTGTATTGTTAGCATACCTTATATTGTTGATCGTCTCACCATTTATTATTAGGCCAAGATCTTCTTCCTCGAGTGCTTGTTCACAGATAGCTTCACTATACAGATTAAATAAAAGTGGCGATAAGATACATCCCTGCCGGACTCCTCGACGGATTTGAATTTCTTCTGTCTTAGAACTTCTCTTTTTTTATTAGAACAAATAGTTGTATTGCCATATTTGCTTAATAGTATATGAAACTTTTGTTTAATGACGATTGATGACATCTCTGATTTTCTCAAGTTTGTTAGACTGTTAGACTGATGTCGATAGCAAGTATATATATATATATATATATATATAATATATATATATATATATATATATATATATATATATATATATATATATATAATTCTTTGGAGGGTAACATTCGGGAAAGCGTCAAAACAAGGATCAGCTAGAGATGGTATAAGCCAGTTTGGTGTAGAACTTTATTCTAAATGTGAAATTTTCGGTGATATGTTGTCACCTTCATCAGCACCTAAATGGAAAACCTATTATAGTACAGTGGTGGAAATCAACATTTAAAAACCTACATTGAAAATGTTCAGTTGGTCCTAGTGGTAAAGAACACTGTCACAAACATGTTAAAAATATTAAAAAATACATTTAAAATTTTGAATAAAAACATTACAACACAACAGGGTAGTTTTTCAAATACAAACACAACAAAAAATCTAAAACACGATTCTAAGACAACATATCACCGAAAATTTCACATTTAGAATAAAGTTCTACACCAAACTGGCTTATACCATCTCTAGCTGATCCTTGTTTTGACGCTTTCCCGAATGTTACCCTCCAAAGAATTGTATTCTTAGCGTCGTTATATACACTCTCTCTCTCTCTATATATATATATATATATATATATATATATATATATATATATATAATATATATATATATATATATATATATTGTACATGGTGCAGAGTTGTGGATTAAAGAGGTATCATAGGTTTTTGGAAATTTATAATTTAATTTGAATAAGTATGGTTGTATACAAAAGTAAAAAGGATGATTAATTTGATGTGTTTGTTGAAATTTATTTGTAAATCGATCATTATCGGTCATCAAATCAATCATGTACTACGGATGCCTCCGTAGTACAACGTGGCGTCAGTTTCAGCTTACAAGCGAAGCATTAACCTCCAGAAGAAGATGCCAACCCCTAATGTTGGCGAAACGTCGAGAACTAATCTCAGAAGACAACTGCCCAACAGCCCGAACAAACAGCCTAACAAGTTTTTTTTATGTGGATGGAACGTTCTAAACACCATACCATTGCTCGGCGTGTGTTGGATTCAGGGCAGAGGAAAACATACGAGTCCATTTCCCCCTATGTATAGGAGGTCCTGCAAACGAATGCCTTCCTGTTGCCCTGCCTGCCAACTAAAACCACCCATTTTTCGTCAAGGCACCCCCGTACGTGTTCAGTTAGCGAACGAAACTTAGGAATGCCTTGCGCAGCCTAGATTGGTCGTGGAAAAAGGTTGCCGGTTCTTACCTAGGAGCGGCAAGGAACCAGGAAAAATTTATGAAAATACAGTTGGTGTTACCTAAGAGCGGTAAGGAACCAGGGGAAAATGTAAAATGACAAATGAACATATGAAAAATAAATCACGGCCTTGCCGGTTGTGTCTTAAGTAGAGATGGACTGCCCCAGATCACTCTCCTCCTGTTTCAATTTTTTTCTCTATCATAGACTTTCTTTTTATAATTTTTGTTACTTGGTCTATGAGGAATTCAAAGTTCTCTCTGCTTTCCATAGCGACACGTATCAAGTTGTCAGGGGATATCCCTCCTAGCTTTGCCCGCATTCTGTGTTGTTCCGACGCAAACACATTACATCTAAAGATACAATGCGCCGCGTCATCTTCTATGTTGCACGTTATACAACTGTCGTCGCTGGTTTTTCGAATACGATACGTGTAAGACCTGAAAGATCCATGTCCGGTCAGGAACTGCGTAAAATAAAAATTTACTCGTTTGAACTTACATTTATACCACTCTATCACGTTGGGTATTAGTTTTTTGGTCCATTGTGCCTTGTCTGTCTGTGCCTCCCATTCTGCTTGCCATTCTATTAGTAGTTGCTCTCTGATGGCGGCTCTCACCTGAGGTAGGTGTCCGTCTCGAGAGTTATAAAGCATCTGCCGTTCTTTCGCTAGGAGGTGAATGGTGAGCGTACCCGCTATCACCTGTAGGGCCGTCGTTGAAGTAGTCCGGTACGCACTGATCACTTTTAGTAGGGGCTTTCGCTGGGCTCTGGTTATCATGCCTCTATATTTTTTATAATTTAGTACATCAGCCCAAATGGGGGTTCCATATAGGAGGGTCGACTGTACCACTTGCAGATACATTCTACGTTTTTGGCTGCCTGGGCCTCCTAGGCAGCCAAACAAGTAGACTAGCCTAACAAGTTAGACGATGGCCGTGAAGGCCTAATGCATTTTATTGGTCTAGTAAATTTCTGTAAAATTCTACTTTGATACTAATGAGTGTTTTTTTAGGGAAATAGAACTTTGAAATGAAATAAAACAAAGTTTTTTTAATTTAAATTTAATTTACAGTTTACTTAATTAAAAAACCTTTTGGCAATATAATACCTGGCCGTATCAAATCCCAAAATATTGGAGGCCAATTCACGGGTTCGTGGCAATTGTAGCGCAGGGGCTATATTACTGGCATAACAATTTTGCACCGACAAAATTTTTAATTTCTAATCTAAGGGAGCTGCCACCGTGCTTCTGAGAGCACGTAAAGGCGTTGGTCCCGGCTACAAAAGTAGTCGTTAAGTTATGTTAGGGGCGCCTGCGCAACCTAAAAAACCCTAACACTAGACCTTAGCCAGAAGGTTACACGAACTTTATTTTACTTTACTGGTTCGAAACTATGCGGTTACCAAATATTTCTTTTAATAAAACATTTGAGTCACGAGCTGGGTGACATGTTGCGTCATCTTGTTAAAACCACAGCTCCTGTACATCATGATTGTTTAATTAAAAGATGAAGATGTCAGTAATCATGGCTCCATAATGGCCACCATTGACTGTAACGTTCTGGCCAGCATCGTTTTTAAAGAAGTACAGACGAATGATTCCACCAGCCTACCAAGCACACCAAACAGTCAGTTTTTCTGGATGTGATGGTAGCTTAACGTACAGTTGAGGATTATCTTTACTCCAAATACGGCAGTTTGTTTGTTGACAAAGCCGTTCAACCAAAAGTGAGCTTTATCGCCAAACAACATTCGCATATCAAAATTAAAATCAACGGCCATTTTGTTTTAAGCCCATTCGCAAAATTTACACCTTACTAGGTGATCGTGTAGCTTTAATATTTGCAAAAGGTGGATTTTGTAAGCATTCAAACCAAGATCTTTCAACAAAATCTTCTGTAAAGTGGATAGACACATACCCAAATGCTATGCACCATAAAGTTTTGACCATTAGTCATCTGATTTTCGTTGGATGTAACCTGCACATTTTAAACTCTTGACCGTCTTGATCTCTTCTACAATGTCTAGAGTACTTGTATATTTCCTTAAGTTTTACATTTGTATCTATATTAAGCTATATATAATAATGATATTATGTAATAACAATTTTTTAAAGTTTTTATTTTAGACAACTTTTAAGATATACAATGATTGATCTATGCTGATTAAATTGTTGGAAAATTTGAATCGCAGGTGATGCAACATGTGTTTCTTTGAATTCTAAAGTAACCATCTTCACCCCAAGAAAGTCCCCAGGAATTTTTAACAATCCAAAAATCTTTGTCATTTTCTGTTCCATAACCAACTGCTAGAACCCCATGATTTATGGTTCCCACGTAGTTAACACAACTAGAATCGCTCAGTATTCCTCCCTTATAATGTTGAAGATTTGCTGTAGCTTGCATTCCAATGGATATAGGACCAACTGTCGCTAAAATATTAATAAGAAATTAAAGCTGACTATATAACAAAAAATGCCTATATTCTAACAAATTAATAATAATTGTGCTCACACTATAAAATTTTAACAAACTTTTTTCTGTTATATTATAATATTCTTCTGTATTGGAATACATAATTTAAATTAACTGCTACAATGTTCCCATTAGTTTGCTCTATATCATATTTAGAAAACGTTAAGAATAAACTAAAAAACTTAAAAGTTTTTATTTTAAAAACTTAAAAGTTTATTTGGTATATTTGAAGAATGGGGAAAATTAAAAATGCGATGATAAAAACAGCTAAATCAATATGTGAAACTACAAGAAATAATAACAGAGGGAAACGAACATCTTGGTGGAACGATGAAGTAAAAAAAAATAGAAGAAAAGAAGAAATTATGGAAGAATACATACAAGACAAAACAACAAAAATATGAAAATTATAAGAGACAAAGAACAAAAGTTAAAGATATAGTTAAGAAAGACAAAAAGAAAAGTTGGGAAAAATTCGGAAAACAAATGGAAGAAAACTACACAGAAAACGTAAAATTATTTTATAGAAGACTGAATAACCTAAAAAGCAACAAAGAAATGCAATTAAAACAAATAATGAACAAGGAAGGAACACTAATAAAGGACGATAAGACAATAATGGAAAAATGAATGGAACATTTACAACTGATACTGAATGGAAATTAAGCGAATACAATGGAGAGGAAAGCCACATCAAGAGAGTATCCATGAGAAACACGGAAAATCAAGAAACTATAGAAAAAGAAGAACCGGAAGAAGCAATAAGAAGATATATAATAAAGATTGGAAAATCACAAGGAAGAGATAAAGTAGCACCAGAAATAATGAATATATAGGAGTAAAAGCAAAAGAAAAATTGTTACACATAGATAACCTATTATGGAAGAGAAAGGTAATACCCAGAGAATGGACAAATGCAGTAATTATACGTATATACAAGAAATGAAAATTAGAAAAGAAATAGAACATAAATTAGAGGACGTACAAAGTGGATTCAGGAAAGGACACAACACACAAGACGATATATTCACCATGCAACAAGTAATAGAAAAAGCTTTAAAAAAATAGAGAAATGTATCTGAGCTTTATAGACATGAAAAAAGTATTCGACTCAGTCAAAAGAAAAGATATATGGGAAAGCCTAAGGAAGAAGCAAGTAGGTGAATATCCGATAGAAGCAAGAAAATATGTATATATGAAAACAAAAAATACAGTGAGAATATTAAATATACAGTCAGAACTATTTAAAACAACTCAAGTAGTTAGACAAGGGGGAGGTCTCATCCCAGTACTATTTATAAATGTAATAGATGAGATAGTGAAAGAATGTATGAAAACATTTAAGAAATACTGCATTAGTTGGAACAGAATGCAAATGATAAACGCTTAGATGTGTATATTTGCAGACGACATAGTATTAATTGCGGAAACAGCAGAAAAACTGGAATACAACTTAGAGAAATGGAATCTAGAAGCAGGCAAATACGACTTAAACGTAAACAAAGAAAAGACTCAGATAATGAAAATATCAAGGAAACAAGGGACGGAAGATCAAATAGAAGTAATGATAGACCAACAAAAAATAATACAGACATATTTATACAAATAGTTAGGAACAGTAATCAACAACAAAGGAGACATCGAGGACGATCTTAATAACAGAATGGAAAACGCAGGAAAGCACTAGATGCACAAGCACTAAATAGAGGATTGTTTAATAACAAAGAAATATCAACAAAGACCAAGATGACAATATACCAAACAATATATAGATCTACAGTCGCATATGGAGCAGAAAATTGAATATTAAACAAAAGACATCAGAGCAGAATTCAGGCAGCAGAGATGAAATACCTCATAAGAACGATCGGAGTAAAAAGAAATAATAGCATCAGAAATGAAAAAATAAAATAAAATCAAACCGATACTCAATCAAGGAGTAAATGGCATGGTTCGGACATTTAACCCGGATGGACAATAAAAGACAAGTAAAAAGAGTGTGGGATGCCTAACCAATAGGGAAGAACATAAGAGAAAGACCCAATAAAGAATGGAACAGTGACATCTCACAGATACTGCAGAGTTAGGGTAAGACTTGGCAGGAAGCAACACAGATGGCATCTGATAGGAAGGAATGGAGAAAATTCGTTAAGAGCTAGGACACCTCAAAAGATTGTAAAATATTGTAATTTAATAAAATGTATTATAAACGGCCTAACACCGAAAGGTACAAGTGGATCTACTGATTAAGTAAAGTAAAAGTTATAAACCTCGTATCTAGGTCGCATAATATGAAATGATAAATATAACCTGTTGCGAATAATAATTGAAGAAAAAATAGAGGGCCGAGGAGAAGTCCGCAGAAGAGACATGTCATAGCCTTGACATACCAGAACTTAGAAGGACATGAACGTTCAATAATTTTAATTAAGATTAAAGACTTCCAGTAATTGAGTGCACCAGAAAAAGAAGGTAGTGAAGATTAACACTAAAAAGACATCATGTTGTTTTCAAATGGTAAAGACCTTTCATCAAGAGGTATTTAAGAAACTTGGACTTTTTCAAACTTTTTGAGATGGACGTATATATTCGTATTCTGCGAAAAATTGTACATAATATAGGATAGTTTTCAACTAAGTATTCAACTATGGATAGAAATGGTAACTTGAAAATAAACCTAATTCTTATTAACGCCACTCAAAAATACTACGAACAAAACTTTGCAAGAATTAAAATGGGACAAGAAATCACCTCTCCTTTTCAAACAACAAAGGGACTAAGGCTGTCACCCACCTTATTTAAAATCTATTTGGACATATTCTTAGTGAAATGGGTAAAAAAATGTAGAAACATGGGAATAACAGTGGAAGAAAACACGCTATATACACTTTTCTTTGCGGATAACCAGGTAGTAATTGCCGAAGACAGCTACGATCTTAGCTATATGGTAATGTTTGAGAACCCCAATAAAACATTTATATCATATAGTGGAGTAAAATTTCAAGTAAATTTGCTTTTATAGCACAAAGAACTACCATAAAATTTCCTAAAATAGTATTTTTAGTATTGTATAAGGGTTATATATTGAAAAGTTATTAAAGGCACTACTCATACAAGGAATCAAGGAAGTCAAGAAAGAAAAAAATAAGTTAAGATTCAAATACTAGTAGTATTTCACATTAATATATTCCAAATAATACTTATGACTTACCAATAGCACGTTTCAATGATTCATCATCATTTGGAACAGTTTGGAAACCCTTTATTTTAAAAACAGTATTACTCGCATTTCGAGTACAAGGCGCATCTTCTCCTACGTACGGATATGCCGTTTCACTTGATATACCTTTAGCTTTAACATACTTAAAAGCATGTTGCATATTTCCTCCTTTACAACCAGCGTTACCGTATAGTGTCGAGCAGTCTATAAGTTCCTGTTCACTTAAAGGAAGTGTTACGTTATTTGCTAAGAAATTAAGTGCTTCTAATGCTCCAGTCTGTTGATAAAAAATAAATAAAAATTAGGACTATTAGATAACTATTCTTTATACTCAAGCTTTCAGTTGTGTGTACGATTATTTTCAAGAGCAAAAATGATAAAAAATTTGAATCGTTTTTGTAGGATTTTGGTCACACTCAGCTGATTAGCGTATTTACACATTATCCCAGTCTTTGTCTAAATTTGAATTGAGCCGTTTAAAAATGCCTAAAAATGTGATAACCGTATAATTAGTCTAATGAGTCACAAACTAAAAATATTCTTAAAAATGATCAATTTAAGAATTTTCAGAAAAGTCGAACAAGACATCACTGAAACCCAATGTGGATTTAGGAATGCCATGGGTACACGAGAGGCAATATTTGGACTTAACGTTCTCATGCAAAGATGTTTGGATGCAAACTAACCACTGTATGTTTGTTTTATTGATTACAATAAGACGTTCGATAAGGTCCCATACAAACATATTATACAGTTACTTAAAGATAAACACATTGACAAAAAAGACTTAAGAATAATAACTCATCTCTACTTTAACCAAAAAGCAAAAGTCAGAGTACGTAAAGAACTTTCGGAGGATTTAGAGATAAAAAGAGGCGTAAGGCAAGGTAACATACTCTTCCCCTTATTGTTCAATCTATATTCGGAAGCAATAATTAAAAAATTACTCGAAAATGAATCAAATTCAATGAAAATCAACGGCTAACCCATCAACAATATCAGATATGCCGATGATAATATACTAATTGCAGGAAATATACAAGATCTACAGACACTCTAACGCTATATAGATATATATAGATAATATTGATTTATATAGATAATGACTAACGCTTAATGCTAGTAAAACAAAATTTATGACAATTTCCAAAACACAGACACTTGGTTAGATATCTTGGTACAATTATTAATGAAGATAACGAGTATACAGAAAAAATAAAAATGAGAATTGGGCAATCTAGAGCAAAATTTAATAATATGAGAAAAGTATTATGCAGTAGAGATCTTAGTTTGCAACACAAAATAAGAATATTACGTTCATATGTGTTTTCGGTGCTGGTGTATCGGGTGAAGGCCTGTAAGTGATCGACTTTAAGCATTCGAGATGTGAACCTACCAAAAAATATGAAAAATAAGTTGGGCAGACCGAATAACAAAATGTTGAAGTCCTCAGAAAGATGATCAAGGAAATGGAAATCATGAATACGATTAAGATAAGAAAGTTACAATATCTCGGCCACGTTATCAGAGGGAATGAATATGTAATGCTACAAACCATAATGCAGGAAAAAATACAGGGAAAACGAAGTATTGGAAGAAGACGCATCTCCTGGCTCAACAATCTGAGAAAGTGGTATAATTGCAGTTCCAATTGCAGACTTGTTCATAGCTATAATCTCAAAAGTAAAAATAGCTGTGATGATTACCAACGTCCTTAGAGAAGACGGTATCAAAGAAGAAAAAAAAAAACGTGATACCTTATTTTGATAAATCTAGAGTAATTGTTTTGTTACAACAGGGCTTTAGTCAAATCGCTAATATTGTTGATGTTACTTAAAGTACTGTATCGCAGATAAAAAAATCCAAGATACAAATAACGTCTAGGATCGTCTCAGAAGTGGTAGAAGTTGATGTACAACAGCAGCACAAGACCAGCAAATAACATTGACAACTCGTAGAAATGGTCTGTAATCTACGGCATCCAGAGAAATTTCTAGGCTTCAAGGACTAAATATTTCCTGACAAACAATAACCCGCATACAAAATATGGTAAATTTATATTGTATAAGACCGCCACGTGTTCCTAAACTAACTTACCAACACAAAATAGTAAGGTTGCAATCGGCTAAAAAAATGATGCATCGTGGTTCTAACTTCAATAATGTGATGTTGTCTGATAAGCCAAAAGTTAGCTGAGTATCTAATTCGCGAAAAACACTGATTTGGAAGGCTTAAGGATGAGAATATCGAACACACACCTCCTCATCGAACAGCATCAGTACAAAATATTCTGGAAGAAGAAGGGACATCTACATTACAGTGGTCCTCGAATTCCTTCGACATTAACGTTATTGAACATGCTTGACACATTCTTAAAACACGTATCAAGAAGCGAAACAATTCCCCTTTTACATTTCGAGAACTAAAAGATGCTGCTCGTGAAGAATGCGAGAGAACTCCGCAAGCCCAGCTTGACCAGTTAATCGGCAGCATGCCAAATCGCCTACAGGCATACGTACAGGCCAATAGAGGAAATACTAATTATTAGTTTTATTAAAAATTATTTTTTTTTGTATTCTATTTTACTTTGTAATGTAAGTTTTACATGTACAATGTACAAAACTGCTAGAATAATATTAATGTTTAAGAAACTTGACAAAACGAATTATCAAGAATACAAAATAAATCAATGTTCTTGATAGCACCTATAAAATATTTTCAACATTGTTAAACAATACAACCAAAACGTTGAGGAAAATAGGGAAAATTCAGAACTGACCATTGTAACTAAAAGCTTATATGTAAGTAACACAACTATATTAAATCATAACGGAATTTGCACAAGTGGGATGAAAAGAAACATGAGCTTAAAACGGAGCTGATGTGCTTTTTTATGTTATGTTATGTTCTTCATGTTACATATTATGTGTTATGTTCTTGATGTTAAGTATTTAAAATATTTATATAGTCAATAAAATAGACGAATGGAAAATAAAACATTGAATTTTTTTTTATCAAAATATCATTTTCAATTTTGTTATAGATGCAGAAGACTTTGTATTAAAAATTTTTATTAAAAATCCTTTGTAACAGGTATATATTTTAATATATAACCTAGTGTTGCCTTATGACAGATGGGGCCTTTCTTAAGTTATAAGTAGATTACTATACTATCAACATACTACATAACCATGTCCCAACCATCAAATTTTGTTCATTTCATAATAATAGTTAAACACCAGTTTAACACCTATTCAGATATTTATTTTTATGAAATAATAACTTAAAAAGTTTTACATTTACCGGGTACCAAATGTTGTTTTTTTACATACAGAGCATTCTATTATTGAGTTATAAGTTAAATACTACATGAACATTGTACTACAAAAGTTTTATTTTATTCATTCAAGAACACCTTCATATTTTTAATATATACATTCATATCCAAACTTTAACAATAAAATTTCTAGAACTCAACCTCCCACATGTGTCTAGTTTCTATTTTCCAGGTTCCAAATGTTAAAGAAACATAAATTGCCTTATATTAAAATCTTTATTTCACAACATTACTGCACACATGTATAGTTGGTTGCCCAACTACAACCACATATTTTTCTTTCCACATCTCATCTTATATACATAATTTTAAAACAACAACATTGATGGTTGATACTGTTATATTAATTTATCCATACTAAACGGATACTAATCCAACGATAACTTTAACATGTCAACATATTGTAAGAAATACTGTAAACTAAATGTAATTAATTATTTGTTAACGGTTTTTTACCCATATATTTAGTGGCTACATTTATGTACTCCTAGTAAGTATTAACCACACTTTGCATTAACCCTAGTCAAAATTTAAACCTCATGTTCTTTTTAATTAAGTGGTTATATATTTTCTAGAACACTGATGATGGAATATGGATTCCGAAATAAATATATACCTTTTACAAAGGATTTTTAATAATTTTTTTAATATATGGTATATAGTCAACTACAGTAACGTAGATTCCTTGTGAACTTTGTATTAATTGCCGAGACTATTTTGTATTTTAAAAAATGATTTAAAAAATGGGTGCCCCTATTTACCGTTAATATTATTTTTTAATTTTACTGATATCCTCAACATTTATTTATTTAAATATTCAAAAATATTATATATATACTCACAACACTAAATGTCCAACAAGATCCACAAAACGCCTTGGTTTTTTACTTCCAAAACTGCACCCGATCCTCTCCAATCTACGGAATCAGGTATTGGATCATCAGAAAGTTGTGCAGGTATACCGTGGTTATTTGGCTTTGAGCTTATTTGTTTATTAAGCATAGCCATAAATTCATCAGCTGTTAAATCTGCAAATTTGGTTACACCCATGTAATACGAAACTTCACCCTTCGTGTATCTGGAATTATGTTCTTCGATTTTCTTTAGATTCGACTGAAACACTGACAAGCGATAGTTTTCTTCTAGAATATGAGCATATGATTTATTATGGATACGCTGAAAATGAAAAAATGATAAAATTATTGAGTACATATTTTTTGATTTATCATAATACTTGTGATTGTAGTATACTTAAAACCAAAACTAAATATACGTTAACTAAATATAAATATATCCCCCTTACCTTAAAGCTCTCCCATTGTTCTTTGGTTGACAAAGCATTGGCTACCACGAAGGTCCCAATTAGGATCAATAAAATTCTCATTCTGAAAATAAAAAAAAAAAACATGTAAAATTGTTTTGTGGTAAAAAGGGATAAACGCCAAGTTATTATTTTTACCAAATTAAAGATAGAATAATTCTCTCTAATATTAATTAGAGCAGCGGTTCTCAACCTTTTAGCACTGGCGCCACCTTTGAACACTGAAGATAGCTCACGCCTCCCTCCAGTCAATAATTGGTTGATTCAAGTTAGAACAGTGAAATTGTGAAGTTCACGATGCTAACTCTACGTTAGCAAAAGCTGGGATGCAAAATAAAAATTCAGATATATTTAAATACACAAGTTTATTTGATGTCTAACTAAACTTAACATTGTTTATTTATTTGAGAAAAAGAGTATTTTGCATATATGAGTGTTTTTGCACTTTCAATGACCGGGTTGGTATTGTCTGTTCTTTACAAGATTTTCGATATTCGTTTGAAACTGAAAGATATTTTTATCATCTATAAATCTTCTGTGAAGATCTTCTTGTTTTCAAGTCATTAACAAAATTTCAACTTTTGACAAAACAAATGACGGTATTATATTTTTGATTTGATACAGAGCAGCAACAAGCCGCATATACGTATTTCGATCTCTATAGATCTCCTCAGTACGGTATAGTTACTACTCCATATCAAACCAAAATATTTTCCCGTCGTAGATTATAGTTATTAAAAATAACTATTTAGGAACGTAACTACACCATCTAAGAACAAAAAGAGAAATCATACGATTTCTACCTGGCGAAATCGAATTCAAATATAGGCCGCCGTGCTCCCTAAGACTTGCGAAGCAAACAGCTTGATGAATGCATCGGCAAGGGAGTCTAAAAATTGCACTCCAAATGCCGTTCATCACTGTAGTAGTGACAGTGCCGTGAATAGTGAACAGTGTTAGTAGTGTCTGGGGGCTCGGAAGCCCTGAGGAAGGCATCAGAGAGGATGCCGAAAGCTTGGCAAAATGGACATCGACGCGGTTCAACCCGGAAGACTGGTGAGTTTGATATTAATTTAAGTAATAATATTAATCTTAGCTCTAGGTTATATATATATATATATATATATATATATATATATATATATATATATATATATATCGTCGGCTTACTTGTAAAACCTTCTAAGTCCAATTTTCAAAACTTTTCAGGAGAAGCAAAAAACTGCTACCACCGTTATTATGGGACCCTGTCTTATAAAATTTTGTTAAACACCACTAAAATGTAATTTTAGTTAAATCAGTAATCCAGTATATAAATATTTGATTATTTAGGCATTAAAAGAGGACTTACGTGCTTTTCATTTATTTATTCGGGACAAAATAAGACTTACAAGGTACATAAGAGTCGATATTTACTTTAAATATAATTAGTTTGTTGGACAACCGCTGTATTTAAAAAATATATTGCACAAAAAATCAAATTTCTCATATGAAATATTTGTCTAATAGATATTAACCATAGATATATGAATTGAAAAAAAATAATAGTGAAACAAATAAAGTTAACAAGTTAGTAAACTATCATAAAATGTATGAAAGTCTTTTGGTATCACGGATTTTAATTCTTGTAAGTGATTATATTTTTGTAATTTTATTTTTAATGGGCCATTGTATAAAGGAGACGGAATAGCACCAATCTTGCTTTTATTGCAACGTCTGGGAAGTAAAGTCCAGGGCATTTTGTAGTCTACTTTGTATTCAAGACTTAGGTCTGGATTGTACTTTATACATCTGAGGTCATGGACAGTTGGGTCTCCAGATTGATTTCCAGGTCTTATTGAACTATAAAAGTTAAAATTGGAAAAATTTTTCCAGAATGTATGATCAAGGTACAGTACTTCATATGGTTTAGGAGTGAGTCTTGCAGTTTTTAAAAGGTCGACGTAGCATCCTGGTGTATAAATTTCACGATTTCTGAGTTTTCGTTCAATTGTGGAGTGCATTGAATCGCACTCCATTTGTGTATGACCTTTTTCAAGGTACTTATGAACCACCACAATTTTTTTTTCATTAGCCACAGACAAAAGTGCGTTTGATAAAATATTATTTCGATTCTGGTAGCCGCAACCATCACTGTAAAATATTATTTCATCATTATCCTGAAGAGTTGGTATCTTATTAAGGATAAAATAAGAAATTATTGTAGAGAATTCGTTCGCGGACAGTCCACCTTCTCCCTCGTGCCACACAAAACAATAACCATCTTTGTTTTTGAGATCAAATATGGTAAAATTGTGGACTATCAATTTAGTCTTATAGTAAAGCGCTGAAGCTTTTAAATTCGGTGCAAGAAGTACACTCTGTAAATCCATGGTATATACAAATTTACCCTGCTCCTTGTCTTTGGACTTTTCTGCCCTAGCATTTTCTTTATTTTCTATGTGTCTTTTATAAGCATCCTCTGATACATTTTTAACCCTAAATCCCACACAGAGGTCACATTGGTCTTTTTTGGGCTGGTGTATGCTAAGATTCATCTTTTCGAATTCCTCCATAAATGTTTTAACTGATAGGGATTTTTCATTACACTTATTTTCATATTCTCGGAATACTTCCATCTTTGATCTCCATACGGGTTCTAGGTATATTTTCGTAGTAGATGATCTACAATAATGCGACTCGAGCTTTGGCAGACTTATTAGAAAGGAACGCAAAATATTCCTAGGAGAGTCATCCTTTGTTTCCGGAGATATTTTAGACCTTTTCAGATTTTGTGAAGAGGTATCACCGGGTGTTGCGTGAGTATCCTCTGTATTTATATTTGGATCATTTATTTCTTTAACCCATTCAGACACAGTCCATTGTCCAACGCATAACGTATGTAGAAACATTGTTTTGCAAACTCTATGTAATTCGTCACATGAATTTTTCAGATGAAAATATAGTGATCGGCCTCTTCTAGAGACTTCGTTGATTTGATGTTTTTTATCTTGAGCTGCACCAACTCGGACTAACATTTGTACCATGGTTTTTTTCTCTCCCCATGTCTTTTTCCAAAATTCGGAAAATATTTTTTCTCTTTGCTGTTCGCTGAACAACCTACATTTTAACAATGCAGTTTTCTTTGCACTAAGTTTGCAATTACATGACGGTTTTATACTTCTTTCTGGTTTGTCAACATCAAAAACATTTTTGCCGTCCATCTTTCTTCTACCGAGATATTTTTCACCGTGTTCCCTTTTTTGTTTATTTTGAAATTGGACCCATTGTGAAATATCAGCTTTTCTGTTTCTTTTTCTCTTTCGAGAAACCGTGGGAGGAACAGTTATGTTTACATTATCGTTATCTTCAAAGTTATTTTCTTCTGAGTTGGTAACATTATTCTGGTAGGAGACTGAATCACTTGAAGAACTGTCCACTGAATCGGAATTAGGAGAATAGAGAGACTCTTCTTCAGCATCAAGTTCACTATTATTCGTAATGTTATTTTGGTCGATTGAAAACTCATTGAGAGCCTCAAAATTTTGCACTGCGTTTTCTAAACAAACATGCTGCTCTTCTGAAATAATAAATTAATTAATATAAAAAACCTACTAACGAAATTGTGCGTTTACTCACCACTATTTTTTTGAATAGTAATAGAATTATTATCATCTGCATTATGTGCGCACTGGACTTTAACAGTGGTAGGTAAGTCAATAAACTCTATGGGCAGATCATTAATATTAATATTATCTTCCCAATGTCCTGAATCAATAGGTTTTGGAAATAATGGTAAAATAGGTAAAATATTTCCACAATTATGATCAATGTTATCAAAATTGTTATTTTCTCTCGGTGAAACTTCTGGCGCGGCAACTAATTCTAATATCAGCTCTGTCCGAGATTTGTAGGAAGCCATCTAAAATAATATAACAACCATAATCTAGTTTCTTTAAATAACACGTTACAAGTCATAAAAAATGTATAATTTGATTCCTTGAAGTTTTTTCAATTAATATTTTAACTTTACTTTTAGTCTGAAAACCATGTAAGTCCCTAGCAGTGAATATTTTAACATTAATTTTAATATGAAAACCGTGTAAGTCTACATCAACAGGTTAAGAATTTCATTTAAAAATTACTGTTAATTAAAATGGGATAAAAACAGTGTACATACCTTCTTAGCTATTTAAGTTTAAATTTAACTGGAAAACATTAACTGTTGCTAGCACTTCTAAGCCAAAACCATCAATTTTTAAGACCGATTACTTACTAACCTCCAAATTAATGTCAGCACGTTTTCACAGACCACTCACAGACATAGAAGGTTTTCAGAACTATTTTAGACTGAGAGACATAGAAGTTCCTCGTGTTTCCACTAGGGACGAGTTCCGATTGGTCTCGACTTAGAATCTATTCACAGTTATGTCGGGACGGATTTATTAAATTATTTCCGTAAAAAACCCCAAATGACCGAAAATCGGACTTAGAAGGTTTTACAGGTAAGCCGACGATATATATATATATATATATATATATATATATATATATATATATATATATATATATATATATATATATATATATATAGAACGAAAAACTATTAAAAACCTGACAATAATGAGTCTAACTTGGCATAAAAATTAGCAAAAGTGATAAATTATGGCAAAATAATATAAATCATGTCTATCCCTTAGCAATTAAAAGTAAAATAAATGATAGACATCGAAAACTTGTATTATCTGTAATAGCTAATTATAATTTAAAAGATAAAAATCTGGTTATAAAAAAATATAGGCGGATGTTCCAAAAATATATTTAAAATAATACGAAGATGTTACATTATAAGATTTCTTGAGTTTTATTTTTCATTTACTAGAAGTAAGGAGTAAATTACTGAATGTATATCATACAGAGCGGTAAAAAGCTATGTCAACTCTATGTATTAGAACTTCTGATTAGCAGGTGTGCGCTGTGGAAAGAATAAAGTGTGGATTAAAGACAAAAGTCCTACTCTGATGTAACGGAAACCTGGTTCTAGAAGAATGTTTAGACTAGTGGATTAATGACATAATGGATATAAAAGTATGGCTAATTTAAAAAATGTAACACCAAAAAATATAAATTTAGAATGTATGAAATCAAAATACAGTCTGTTAAGCCGGTATTTTTTTGCCACTATTAGTTACAGTTTTAAAACACATTCAAGTATTTAGTGTTCTATTTATGTTGTTATATTATAAAAGATTTTTAACAGGGTAATTTGGAATGCTAAATTTTTAACGCCCAAGTTTGGAACGGCTAATATGAACAGCTGAAGACAGAGAAGATTTTGCAATAAATTTTAATAAGCAACCTCCATTGTGGAGAGTGCACTTTAAAAAGACAAATACAAAATATAGAGCAGAGGGAGACTGTAGTGATAGAGGCCTTATAACACATTTAATTTGAAATTTAGGTATTACTAAACTACTAATAACTATTTGTTTCTAGATCTAAATAAGTGTCAAATAATAAAATTAAATAATATTTTTTATTACAACAAAAACTGACAAGCTTACCTGAGTTTTATTGTTCAAAAGAATATAAGTTTTTAAACTGCAATTTTATCCTATTGAACTATTGATTGTACTATTGATCTAAAGGGAAATGAATATATATTTATAGTGTAGTGTAAATCACTTCAGTTCATTTTATCAGCTTAATTAGAATATCAGTTTATTAAATTAGAATATACCCAACCATAATAAAATATGAATTAAATTTTATCATGATGGTACTTAGAAAATAATCTAAATTTTTATTTTAATATGAATATTGCAATAAACCAAACTGGTATCATATTTATCTCCTTACCTAAAAAAAATTGAAAATTTGAAGGATTAAAGTAGAAATTTTCGAAATTGTATTTTTAAAACAGGTTAAAGGTTGACAATCATCATGTCTTTAGAAGTAGCCGCTCTAAAGAGTTGACAGGAATTTTTTCCCACTATTTTTCCTTGTTCCATAAGTCATTAGGAGGCTGTATCCTTGACCACGCATTATGTGCCCGATATATTGCGTCTTTCTTGACTTGACGCTTCTTTTTCTACTTCTTTTTCCATTCTTTTCATGGTTCCATCTCTTATCCTTCAGTCGGGCATTGTGTCCTGCGAAGTGAAACCTCAATACTCCGGGAGTATTGGATTTAAGGAAGTGTAGAACTTCCAAATTCCAGAAGAACTGGAAGAGAGGTGATGAAAATACTAAAGATATGGCTAAGCTCAGAGGAACAAATTTAAATGGCCAAAGAGACACTAAATCTCAAGTGAGTGTTCGGGCTAGCTTCAATGCACTGGATTGTGGCTTTAAAGATATAAACAACAATAACAAGAGATAATGAGCTAATGAGACAAGAAAGAAATGAGACCTGGTAATATCAAACGTGATACAACTGAAGAAGGTCACTGGGAATAAATTTATAGAAAGAGAACAATAAGAAGAGAAAAGAAGGGCGCCAACTCAACGATAGTTGAGATTTTGAAGTAACAAATGAATCTGGAGATAATACTCTGAAATACAAAAATACTAAATAATAATCTTGTTTTGCTATGTTATATACTGGTTAGTAGAACTGAAATAAAACTCAAAATAGCAACAATAAATATATTTATAAAAAATGTATATAGGTATATGTGTATAAACAATTTACATATAATGCAAAGCCAAATAACAGTGGTAGTGGATGGTGTACACATACAATGGGACCTTATAGCCCCTCAACAAACGAATAGTCACTACCACTGGCCAAATAAAATATGAAATATTAGTATAAACCACGAATAGTCCGTAGGGTGGCCTAAGTCTTAACACTAAGGTTAGTAATTTAGATTTAAATAGTTCTACTAAAATGAGAAATAATTACCGTATTGTACAGATATCAACAATGATAACTCTGTTACAATTATATTATCTCAAAAGTGAGTTCTCAATACTCATTATATATATTTAAAAAAAACCACATTAAATTTATGTCCCTCTCTCAATATCAAATTGTATTATCTCAAATGTATTGTATTAACAAAAATATATCAAAAAAAAGTGAGTTTGGTCAGACTCTGTATATCCTATTTAAAAACCCAATAAAAACATGTAATGTATTTTCTTCTCCCCAATATTTTAGAATTAGATTATATCAAAAATTAAATTATCACAAAGGTATTCACCTTATCATATGCATATGATGAGTTAACAGTAAATAGATAGTAACAAAAAATTACATAGTCAAACAACTTATCTTTACAGCCCCATAAGTCCATAGGAAAATTCCTCTTGGCACGGTTACATCAGTTTGTGGTTGTAAGGACAAACCCAGGGGAGTCTAATGTAGTCAAACCAGGCACTGGTCTATCTGCTCCGAGAAATCGGTAACTCCATAACCAAGTTATTAACTATTCAATAAAGAGAATAACTATTCCTTGAGGGAATATTCTGAAGACAATATCCTCAAGTGAAGTAACGGAATCTAAAAAGGTTATGTAATTTAATAATGTAATTTAATAGGTGTAGCAGCATGGATTGACTGCACCAAAACAAAACATCAAAACATTAGTGACATTAGGTTAAGTCAACATGTCAAAATTTCCGAAGTTCATTTCGTAGACGTGACAGGCTTGAACATGCGCAGAATACAGAAGGCTGTAGAACCTTGTATATTCCACCAAAAAAGTTAGGTAAAAAAATGACCTTCTGTTCTTTGCAAGTAAATCAAGGAAATTTTATATTTAAAATTATTTCGGAACTCAAAAATAAATCTCTAGGAAATACTAAACTGCAATGATAAATTTGATTGTATGATAAAGAGATAATGCGTATAAAATGATTTACTTACATGGAGCCGCAGCACGCCAAAAAAATCTTCCTTTTTATGTGGAACTCTTATAAATATTGATTTTTAAAAATTACTTATTATTATGAATATATCTATTTTATATATGAATTAATTTATTCTTCCCCAAATTATTTTTCTGCTCCAATTCCGTCACTTTGAAGGTGAAAAATTTCACTGGTTGACGTGGCTGCGTTGAGTTCTGACCAAAACTGACCGCTTCGCTTCCGCACAAAATCGATCAATCTTCCTTTTTAAGCGACTACTGCGCGTGTGGGGAAAAATGTTGATTTAAAATCGATCGTAGGCGGGTAATAAAAAAATTTCTTAAGGGGTTAATCAGTAGCATAAAGGCTACAGAAGCTCCATTTTAATTTGGCAGCATGTTCTCCTGCGTCTTTTACTTTCGTTTTACTTCTAATCTATTTGTTGGTTTTTTTTTTGTCTAAAAGTCCCACCCCGAGCATTGATCTTTTCATCGCTCTTTGTACTTTTACTATTTTATCCATGTAGACTTGGTGAGTGCCCACGTCTGTGACCCATACGTGAGTATAGGGATACACTGATCGTAAATTTTGGTTTTCAAATACTGTTCTATTTTAATGCTTTTCAAGATCGAACTCAGTTTTCCAAAACCTGCCCACGCTAATCTTATTCTCCTGGTAATTTCGGCAGTTTGATTTTCTTTGTAAACTTTCATTATCTCTCCCAGGTAGATGTATTCACTTACTGTTTCTAAATCTATGTTGTTCAACGTTATTTTTCTAATGTTCGGTGTATTTATCATTATTTTTGTTTTTTCCAAGTTACCTTAAGACCTACTTTTTCTGAAGCTTGAAATAGTTGCGTCATTATGGTATGTAGTTCTTCGAAACTTGTAGCATAGAATATTAAAATGTCATCAGCGTATCTTAAATGACTCAGTTTTTTTCCATTAACATTTATTCCTTTATCTGTCTAGTTAATGTGTTTGAACACGTCTTCAAGTCCAAGTGTGAATAGCTTTGGTGAGATAACATCTTCCTGGCAAACGCCTCTGTTGATTGGTATAGCTTTGGTTTTCGCATCTATTTGTATTTGTCATTGTAGCTTCCTGTAAATATTATGTATGAGTATTCTGTATCGGGAGTCTATCCTGCAGTTGTTCATAGCTCTCTCTATTGCCCAAAGTTCTATGGAGTCTAGTGCCTTTTCATAATCAACGAAACCAATGTATAAGTTCAAGTGATATTCATTGGCTTTCTCTATTAGAGTTCTGACTGTAAGAAGATGATCCGTTGTACTGTAACCCTTTCGGAATCCTGCCTGCTCTACCGGTTGATAGCTGTCGAGCTTTGACGTTAACCTGTTAGTTATTACTCTCATAAACAGTTTGTACATTTGGGATAGCAGGAAGATTGGCCTATAGTTCTTCAGATCGACTCTATCTTTCTTTTTGAAGAGAAGTATTGTCAAACTTTTATTCCAATCATCTGGAACTTCTCCTCTGTGAAGACATTCGTTAAAAAAATTTTTCAATTCTTCGAGAATAATTTCACTTCCCACTTCAACATTTCTGCAAGTATTCCATCTGGACCCGGAGCCTTATTGTATTTTAGTTGTGCCATAGCTTGTTTTATTTAAGGATTCTATGTTAGGAAGTATTTCTGTGTTGACATTCGTTATCTTTCTCTTAAGATTTTCTTTTGCAGTATTATCTGCGATAACGTTACGATATCTGGTTTATTAAAAAGTTGGTATATTTCGAAAATAGATCTTATGCGCTATTGTCCTTGATCGTTTATAGCTCCAAATATTTTGCGGAGTCTCTTACGCTCGAATATTCCCAGAAGTCGTTCAACCTTCTGCGTTCAAGTTCATGTTTCTGTCTCGTATGTGAGGACTGGTCTCAGCAGTGTTTTGTATATAATAATTTTGGATTTTCTTTAGATATTTCGTGAGTAATATTGTTTTTGAAGTCTATAGTATATCCTATTTGTAAGGATTGCTCGTCTTTTAATTTCTTTGCTTGTTTTATTTGCAGTAGTCATCAGCAAGCCAAGGTATATGAAGCTGTCAACACGTTTAAAGATATGACTTACAAATGCTGTTTTCTGTTTCTCATTTGCTATAAAATTCTTATTAACTAACATGTACTTGGTTTTTGTCTTCGTTAATGACTAGACCGACCTGTTTTACCGCCGTTTCCAATTCTAGGAAATATTTTGCTATGCCTTATTATGTCAATGGCATTAGTTGTTATGCAACCTTTTTTCTCCCCTTCTTAGGGTCTGTTATTTCTCCTTTGCTCTCCTTGTGCATCTAGCTTGATTTGTCTTTAGGTTTGCTTTATTTTTGTTTTATGTTGCTTCTTGGCAGTCCTCGTCAAACGGGCGTAGGAAATTTCGACACTAAGCAGGTAGCGACTAAAATTTAATGGCAATTTTCGACACCAGCCCTAATTCCCGTTTTTACCTTACAGGTATATTTGACACCAAATAAATATAGCTGCGACATAAATAAAATACCATAATTAATTAATTTATTTATTTTAATAAAAGTAATGTGCATTTTATTTCTTTATAACTGTAATAATATCTAAATATAATACAACTAGTACCTAATTTTTGTACATTTTACCGTTGATATACTTGTATACAATGATTTATTTGCTATTATAGGAATGATAAGATACAGCTTTTTTAAACTCTAACCTACGTATTTGTTGGGATCGTAGTTTATCCATCATTTTCTCCAAAAATGCCAATTTAGCCTTAACAGTACTATCTTTGATTTTTGCTGGTATATGTAAACTATTTATTTTGACATAAGTGATGATGAGGTCCTCACAGCCTATAATAAACACTTTTGCGGAACACTTAGTGTTTCTTTGTATGCAGCGCCAAAATATCTCGCCGCTTTTTAACACTTTCTGTTTCGAGAACGAATGATGCTCCACCACTAATAAATCTCGACCACGGGAACTTTTTATCAAACTCATTTTTTAAATATCCTTATACGTGCACAAGTCAACGTCAAACAAGAAATAAATTACAACTGAAATAATTTAGTCACTAGTACACAAGTGCCATGCCCCCCGCCGTGACAATAAATATTGGGAAAACCCGCTTGTCAAACCATTCGTTTTGTCTAACTGGTTTGGTTTTCCCCAATATTTCCGATACCTACTCAGTTATTATGTTTCTACAATCCAATTGACGATATCATAGCAGAATTCTCTTCCTCAAAAACATACGTTTCTGGATCAAAACCCATTTTTTTAAAGGCACCCTTTAGCTTTTCTACTTACTCAGCCTTTTTTCTAACAGAATTTAGTTCTTTATATTTTAGTTCTAGTTTTTAATCGGCCACTTTTAAATTACTATAATTAGTCACTTTTTAATCTGTAAGTCGTACCCACTTTTTACAACTTTTTTAATATTCTACTTCTCACACCAATGTAATGTTTATTTTAATTTATTTAAAGTATTTTTACACTAACACTAAAACACGTTGATTTCATAACGTTAATTTATTTTCCACACGTTAATCTTACTTGCTGTGCCTGACTTTTTATACTTTTTTTTAATTGATTTTGTTATAAAGAGTTAGTAACTTATTGATAAATAATATTACAAAATTTTATTCGTATTTTTTTATTTAATCAAATTTAAAATTATACAATGAGCTGATTAAAGCCTAGGAAAGCTAGCATCGCAGGTGATGCAACATGTGTTTCTTTGAATTCTAAAGAAACCTTCTTCGCCCCACAAAGTTCCCCAGGAATTTTTAACAATCCAGTAGTCTGTGTCGTCTTGTGTTCCATAACCAACAGCCAAAACACCATGATTCATAAACGGCGCGTAATTAACACAACTTGGATCGTTCAATATTCCTCCTTTATAAAGTTGCAAATGTGTAGTGGCTTGCATTGCTATAGATATAGGTCCCACTGTCGCTAAAATAATAAGAGAATAAAATAGAATACAAAAAGTAAATCTTTCTTAAATTCTAAATATGCCCTACAAAATTCTAATTGATCAAATTTAAAAGTATTTGGAAAACTTTATAAAAAATAAGATCGTAACAAAATTTTACTTTTTTATATTGGAAATAAATTCTTTATTCATCTTTCACCTTCACCTATATCAAAAGCCATTTAAAAAATATATTTTTTAATTACTGAGACTATAAATATGGTCTCGTATTAAAAACCAGTCACATGGTATTCTATAAGCTAAATGAACAGACGATCCTAGGAGTAGGTATTCCAGTTAATAAAAGACTAATTAGCCAAGTAATCCAGCTCAAAAGTATCTCAAATTGATGTGTCTACATTATCGTCAAATCAACATTACAATGACTATGACATTTATACAGATATATACACCAATGTAGAGACACCCAGGTGATGAAGTGGAAAAATTTTAAAAAGACATTTTAAGATGCATGCAAATGCGGTAGCACCACATTTCGAAGGCTTCTAATCGTTTGTATGTTGCCTCCGTCAAGGTCTAAGCTTCGACCATATATAGGATATAAAAGGGTAGAAAATACATAGCATCTCTAACAGGAATCATGGAATTACTAACAGAACAATGTTACTGTCAATCATTGCACGTGGTTGCCTTTTTAAAGACCTTTTTAAAGATCACATGCTATGATTTTTTCTGACGGATATTCTCGAGTTAAAGTTGATACCGTGTAATCAAATGAACTATCTTACAATAAAGTCGTCCTAAGAACGCAACTTAGCAATATTGTTAATATTATTTTAAAGTCATTTGCAAGTGTAAATTGAAATGTCAAAAAACTTATTTTACTTATGGCTTATTTCCATTTAAATAGTAAAATCAGTAGTATTGTAAAATAAGTATACTCTAAATATACCTACCAATAGCACGTCTTAACGAATCATCATTATTTGCGACAGTTTGGAAGTCTTTTACTTTAAGAACAATATTGCTAGCGTTTCGTTTACAGGTGTCATCTTTTGCTTCGTATGGATATGCTTCTTCGCTTGATAAACCTTTGGATTTAATATACTTAAAGGCTGCTTCCATATCGCCTCCACCACAACCAGAATTACCGTATAAACGTGAGCAGTCTACTAGTTCCTGTTCACTAAGAGGAAGTGTCACTTTATTGGTTAAGTAGTTTTGTGCTTCTAGGGCTCCAGTCTAAAACAAAATAATATTAATATATACTCAATTCTAAAACAATTTATAGGTTTTTTGTGATGTTTTAAAAACTGTACGATAACTTAACATTAAAACTTATCAAACAAAACGAGAAAAAAAACACAAAAAAAACTGACTAAGAGTCAGACTGACTGACTGTCAGGCAAACTGACAGACTAAATAAACTTTGCAACAATACCAATAACAATAAAATTAACATTACCAAAACTACGTATACAACTATTCCATATATAAACGGTTTATCCGAACAACTAGTGAATCTTTTAGCTAAATATAACATAACCGTTTTAAACAAATATTTTACCAAACTAAAAACAAAAACTCCAAATTTAAAAAAATCACATGTTGTTTACGAGAGACCAGGACCAGGTATTAACTGTGAAGGAGTCTATATTGGACAAACTGGTCAACCGCTTCAATATAGAATTCGTTTTCACAAATACGACAAGATCAACACTACTCGCTGATAAAGCGTGTGATTGAGAAGGCGCGTAAATTGGACTTCTAAAGCAACAAAATTTTAAAAGCAAAACAAAAAAGGGGAAAATATACGAATCAATAAAAGTAAAAAAAAACACTAGCAATAAATAACGAAAAAGATACAACGAACCTAAATAAAATATATTTCAATCTGATTTAAATAATAACAATCTTAAGTTTGTCATATCTCTAGGAAATATGGGTCTAGAGTTAAATAAATTGGGATTTTCATAACCTGTTTTTTTGGTTAAAATTGAGGCCATTTTGATTTTGATTTATGTAGGACGGATTTGTTTGATAGTGATAATTGAAGTTAGTATTCGTATTTACATATAGATTGGGTTTGCTTATTTAATCGGTAAAAAGAATTTTGGGATTTAAAATCATAGTTATTTCTTGGAAAACTATTATTGGATTGTCTGTATAAACAATTGATGGATTCGACCGTTACTTGATGGAAATTCATTTTATGTAAGAATAAAACACTGAAAACTTTGTTTTCAAACTTCCACAAAATTTATTTTAAATATTATCACTACAGCTGTTTCGGCTGATTGCCTTTCTCAAGTGATCTATTTTGGCTTGGGTTTACAAATTTATAGTCTCTAATGAAATAGGTTGAGGAGGGGAGAACTGTTTGTCTCAAGTTGGTCATTCAGAATTATATCTGTGTTTTTTAATTTGTTGATTTCCATAGATTCTAACAAAGATAGCTTAAGGCCTTTATTTTGAATGTGAAGAATTTTTAATTTTTCATTAAAAGAATGATTATGATCTAGAAGGTGAAGTGCGTATGTCGAATCTGTTTTTCTATTCTTGAAAGCCCTTTTATGTTCTGCTATTCGTTTATCAAAGTTTCTATCAGTTTGACCGATGTAAGTTTTTGGGCAGTCGCCACATTGAAGTTTGTACACACCACTCTTTAAGTGTTTTTTATTTTGGCTCTTGTTATTTTTAATATATTTGCCTAAGTTGTTATTTGTTCGGAAAGCTGGTGTTATTGCTTTCTTTTTTATGTGTTTGGCAATTTTTGTTGTTATTTTGCCTGTATATGTAATCGAGCAGAAGGTACTGGGTTTTTTCTCTGGTGGTGGAAATACTAATTTCAGGGCTTTCTTGTGTAGTTTTTGATTTAACATTTTATTGATTGTTTGTTCTTTGTATCCGTTGTTTACTGCTATTTGCTTAATTATATTTAATTCTGTCTCAAAGTTGTATTTTGACATCGGAATTTCTTTTAATCTATGTAACATACTATGATAAGCTGCCAGTTTATGTTGTGTTGGATGGGATGACGAATTGTGTATAGTCGTGTCAGTATGGGTAGGTTTATGAAATATGGAGAAGTCATGTTTGTTTTGAAGTCTGCTCTTTTACATCTTCTTGAAGTTTGCATAAACCAGGACTACTTTGAATTTAATAATAAAATATATACAAATAACAGTGCAGGACTTATAATGGGTAATCCTCTAAGCCCATTGCTATCAGATATTTTTATGGATCATCTAGAGAAAAAGATTTCAAAACATCCCGTATTCAAACAGTTTTTATATTGGTGGAGATACGTAGACGACGTACTGGTATGTTTCACAGGAACTAATAGGCAACTCGACCAATTTTACTATAGAAACAGAACAAAATCAATCTATAAATTTTTTAGATTTAAAAATTAGCAGACTTCAAAACAAACATGACTTCTCCATATTTCATAAACCTACCCATACTGACAGGACTATACACAATTCGTCATCCCATCCAACACAACATAAACTGACAGCTTATCATAGTATGTTACATAGATTAACAGAAATTCCGATGTCAAAATACAACTTTGAGACAGAATTAAATATAATTAAGCAAATAGCAGTAAACAACGGATACGACGAAAAAACAATCAATAAAATGTTAAATCAAAAACTACACAAGAAAGCCCTGAAATTAGTATTTCCACCACCAGACAAAAAACCCAGTACCTTCTGCTCGATTACATATACAGGCAAAATAACAACAAAAATTGCCCAACACATAAAAAAGAAAGCAATAACAGAACATAAAGGGCTTTCAAGAATAGAAAAACAGATTCGACATACGCACTTCACCTTCTAGATCATAATAATTTTTTTAATGACAAATTAAAAATTCTTTACATTTAAAATAAAGGCCTTAAGCTATCTTTGTTAGAATCTATGGAAATCAACAAATTAAAAAACACAGATATAATTCTGAATGACCAACTTGAGAAAAACAGTTCTCCCCTCCTCAACCTATTTCATTAGAGACTATAAATTTGTAAACCTAAGCCAAAATAGATCACTTGAGAAAGGCAATCAGCCGAAACAGCTGTAGTGATAATATTTAAAATAAATTTTGTGGAAGTTTGAAAACAAAGTTTTTAGTGTTTTATTGTCTATATAAACGTTCAAAATTATAAAATTTATCTACATATGCAATATCATATTCAAGAGAACTTGGTTTTTTCAAGTGCATATTGTTTTTAAGAGTACTTGTACAACCTGCAATAAAAGTATTAAGTCCAGTCTTATCACATTTGTTAATTTGGTACAACTTATCAGTCTGCTGTAGATTTGTTTTATTGCTTATTCTTTGGGTCACATTGCTTTTAAGAAGCTGGATTCGTGTTCAAAAGTCGTGGAGGTTTTTTGTTTTTTAACGATTTCGTCCTCGTTATTACCTGCATTAAGTAGTCCAGATCACGCCTGCCTGCGAAACATTATTCCAATGCTCTTTTAATATCATCCCAGGATGACAGTTATATCCGATTTCCTACTAAAGCTTCGGCTTTTCCAATTATTTTTTCTTGAATACATTCTGAAATATGCTGAGTTAAAGCTGGATCGTTATATGTAGCATATGTTTCAAGTAATTGAGTACATATTGTAATAAATTTATTTAATGTATTAGAATCACCATCATATGGTCTATTTGTAATTTTGGGTTTAAGGAAATCTGAGTTAATACTTGAGTTTGAGGAAGCCACCTTTTCATAAAAATTTATGTTCAGTATTTAGAGCAAGTTTATCAAATTGATTTAATAAATCTTCAAAATCGCTCATAGAACAATTAAATACTAATAAATAAAAAGTTGTGAAATAAATTACTGGATTCTCAGTAATCTATGTCTTCTCACTAAATAAAAGGGAAAAAAGGGAAAACGGAACTTTTGGCTCGTACAGTTTAATCTGGAGCACCTCGTTCTTTTTTTGACTTCTGTTATCTCAGGAACGCTGCTGTTTCTCGAAGAGTACCACTAATGAGTGTAGATTGGTTGTACATAGATACGCACTTCGATGTAGAAACACCACAAAAAAAAACGTCTTTAACACTCGATTTGAATATGTCTTTTCAATCCGCAAGTATCCTACCGACTACGCCAATTATAACTTTCGATCGTGAAAAACAATTTTTAAAAAACAACTTTATTTTGAAAATATAAAATATACTGAAAACTAACAATATTAATTATACAAACTATTTGAGAATAAAAACAGAAGTGTCTTTCCTCTTAACAAAGCAGATATAAGTTGTTCGCAATTCTTGTACATTTTAGAATAGCAAAGACCAGGATTACCTGCTGAAACGTTGATTTTAATGGAATAATAAAATGTGAATGGAATATATATATATATATTATATATATATATATATATATTATATACTTCTAGCGGTTAATGTGGACTCCGTACTAAAACGGTATTATACTAATTCCAGGAGAATATACGCCGTGTATATTATTATCTGAGCAGCGCTTTATGTAGACTCCGACCAACACGTCGGATCAAGTGGACTCCGTAACTGGATAAAACATTTTTGGGATCCGTATACAGCTTTTAGCGTACACAACTAAGCTCCTGCGATGTTGCCAGTAGTTGTATTAGTCGTAGATTTTCAAATTTTAGAGCAGGTACATTTTAGAACTTAAAATTTATTTAAATATCCACCAGGTTAGTCATCGAGGAATTCTTGGAATTCCTCGATGACTAACCTGGTGGATATTTAAATAAATTTTAAGTTCTAAAATGTACCTGCTCTAAAATTTGAAAATCTACGACTAATACAACTACTGGCAACATCGCAGGAGCTTAGTTGTGTACGCTAAAAGCTGTATACGGATCCCAAAAATGTTTTATCCAGTTACGGAGTCCACTTGATCCGACGTGTTGGTCGGAGTCTACATAAAGCGCTGCTCAGATAATAATATACACGGCGTATATTCTCCTGGAATTAGTATAATACCGTTTTAGTACGGAGTCCACATTAACCGCTAGAAGTATATATATATATATATATGTATATATATAATATATACATGATTAAGTCGCGACTATTCTTCTTTAGTGGTAAGTACTAAAAAAAAACATTGGTCCCAAGAGTGTGCCCTCATGTTTGAAAATTATTGTTTTTTGCATTAAACACGTGGATATTTTCTGTAGAATTCGAAATATATGAATGTCTTTTTGTACCAGTTATACTTTAATTATATAATATTAAAACACAAATTATTTTTTAGCATACAATTTAAATATTTCTTTAAATTTACATTCTTTTAAAAAATTATTTTTTATCTGTTATAATTATTTTCATTCAATATGTTTTACTTACAGTATAAAAAAATAGAGTTAATAGTTGATAGCTGTAGTAAATATTTTTAGAAATATACATTTTCTTAACATGAATTATATATTTAACAAGAAAAATACTTACAGTACTAAATGCCCAACAAGATCCACAATTGCCTTGGTCTTTAACTTCCAAAACTGCTCCTGATTCTCTCCAATCAAATGAATCAGGTACAGGATCATCGGAAAGTTGTGCCGGTGTGGCATGACTTTTTGGCTTGGTGCCTAGTTGTTTATTAAGTATAGACATAAACTCTTTGGCAGTTAAATCTGCAAATTTGGTTACACCCATGTAATATGAAACTTCACCCTTCTTGTATCTGGCATTGTGTTCTTCAATTTTCTTTAGATTTGACTGAAAAACTGACAAGCGATAGTTTTCTTCTAGGAAATGTGCGTAAGATTTATTATGGTTAAGCTAAAAACAAATAAATAATAAGAGAATAAAATATCTATTTTGCATTATTTAAGGTATTTCTTGCGACTTTAACTTAATTATAAATAAAATAAAATAAATAATTGCTAAACATAAATAAATCTTCTTACCTTAAAGCTCTCCCATTGTTCTTTGGTGGACAAAGCATTGGCTACTACAATGGTCCCAACTACAATCAATAAAAACTTCATTCTAAAAATTAGAAAATCATGTAAAATTATTAAGTAACAAAAGAGCAAAAACAAAGAAGCTTCACTTTAGCAGTATTTAGAAAACTAATGAAATGATCATTAGAAGATATTAATTTTATCCTTTAGATCTTGCTAAAATAACAGAGTGACACCTGAACGTAATACAATCTGACATCAATATGTCTGTGATCTTAAGGCTATAATTTTAAATAGTAATTTTGAACTTATATGGCGGTAATATAAACCAGTCGTGACCAATGATATACTTCACAATTTTTAATCTAAAAAAGGCATAGATTATGATAATAAATATAGTAACAACTCATTTACAACTAAGAAATGGTTATCAAAACAATTACTAAACTTTACTGTTACTTAAAACTAGAAGAAATAAAATGGTAAATGCCCTCAAGGGCATATAATCCCGTTAGGTCTTATTTAGTCTTTTGCTGCAACTCCTTCCAGGAACCCGCAGATCAGCAATTCTTTATATTGGGTGATAAAGTCTAGACGTTAAACATGACCAAACCATCTTAACCTGTGTTCTATTATTTTCTTAATAATTGGTACCACTTACAAACCTCCACTAATATACTCATTCTTTTTTTTTATTTTTTTTTGTCACTTCACTCATCTATCTAAACAGTAAAGTTCTATTTTTTCCTTCGGCTTTATTGGAATTATTTGTCTGTCATAATACACTACTTGTTTCCTGTCACTTCATTCTGTTCGATTTCGCTGCAGTCGAGCCTTCACTTACCGAACCATTTCAGGTGATGTTGCTGTTTTTTCGTCTACCACCGTAGCGTTTGGCAATGCTAGCAGTATCATTATAACGATTTATGGTGCGATACATAAACATTTTATTTACTTTGAGGTGTTTGAGCTGACGAACAATAGCTGGTTGTGATTTTTCAAATAAATATAACGCAATCACACTATTACGTTTAAATTCCATTGTGAATAACTATTGTTGTATGTATAAAATTTAAATGTAAATGCTTTTAATGGCCTAAAATAAAAAAAAAACAAAGGACTTGTCCTACTATAAAAGCCGCTATAGATTCACCGCTAAAACAATATAAGAGTATTAAGCATTTTAAAAATAGTGCTGGAACTGTCCATATTATACTATATAAAGGTCAAAAGAAAATCATTTCTACAGCAGTGTATTGTTGTAAAATAAAAAATTAAGTGTAATAAGTTATAGTTCTTTTCCATCATATTGATAGCACATTATGTATGCAAATCCTCAACAGGTCAAAAAACCATAGGGGTCACCCTATACTTGTTTTAAAATAAATAAATAAAATTAATATTTTAAGATGCCGTCAACAATTCATTATCTTTTAAAAAATCTTTTGTAAAATATGTGTCCACTAATCTCACTATACCTTTTTTGTGCGTAAAAAACGTCGGTATATATGCCAAACGATTATTGTTAATTATACACGGGTGATTAACGAGAGAATTCAATGTTTCACGAAATAAATGAATGTAAACAGTAATTTAAAGGTGATTATTGTTTTCTATACAAGTTATCGCCTGACACAAAAAGAATACCTTCTTTGAACGATTACCTGGAATTACTGATAAGGCTTTACTAATGATAGTTTAAGTACTTTTTATGCCACATTACAACTTATGCCAATAATATAAATTAGAAATTGTTTGCATCTTCCATTTAGTTTGTAGATGTACATTGTTCATGTCTTACCTACCTACGTTTTTGGTGTCGATATTTTGTTATTTGCATTTAAAAATGACGTCGACAACAGGTTTTCTCCCGGTTAAGGGTAGTTTTAAAGGTGCCTTCAGTCTAAGAGAGAAAAATATCATATTAAATGTACACCATGCACTTGTACATCAACGCCCTTTAAGTAATGTTCGTGAAATCCTTAACATGTGTTTAAATATGAAAGGGGTTGGAGAAGCAACAATCAATAGATTCCCAAAAGAAAGAAAAGGAGGAACTGTTTCATCTCCCAAGAAGAGTGGAGGGAGTTAACCCTTGGAAATTGAAGACATACATAAAAACATGATAAGATGCAGCGTCCACTCATTTTTTTTTAACAAAGAATTTCCAACATTGGACAAAATTCAAACAATAATTAGAGAAAACGAAGAGTTACCAATCATAAGCAACAAGAAATTATGGGGACTATTGAGAGAGGTGGATTTCGTTGGCAAAAGAATATAAGAAAATCCGTTTTAATTGAAAAAGATTACATTGTATGTTGGAGACGAGATTATCTAAGAACTAAAAGTATCGAGAAGAAGGGAAAACAATTATTTATTTGGACGAGACATGGCTAAATGAAGACCATTTCTATGGGTTGATACAAATGTGAAAAGTTCCCGTCAGGCATTCATCGAAGATGTATCTACTGGAATAAACAATATTCCCGTTGGAAAAGGACGCAGACTCATAATAACCCGTATTGGAAACGAATACGGTTTTGTCAATGGTGGATTATTAAGTTTTGCCTCAAAATCAACCAAAGATTACCACGAGGAAATGACTGCTGACGTTTTTGAAGAATATTTTAAGCAAATGTTGGATTTAATTCCAAAAAATTCTGTCATAGTCATGTATAATGCTAGTTACCATTCAAGACTAGCAGAAAAATTGCCAACAATGGCATGGAAAAAAGGAAAAATAATCGAATGGTTGGATAAACACGCAATTGGGTACAAGGAGAATTCGACAAAAAAAGGAGTTATTACCTATTGTAAGGCAACATAAAGCAGCTTATAAAAAATATATAATTCATGACATGGCATTAAACCGTAATGTAATTATTTTACGTTTACTCCCATATTACTGTGATCTGAATACGATAGAAAATATATGGTCTCAAGTAAAGGGTGAAGTCGGGCGCAACAACAAAACTTTTAAATTAGAAGACTTACAACAATTATTAGAACATTCCTTATCAAAAGTAACTCTAGAAAATTGGAAAAATGCTGTTAGTCATGCTCACAAGGAAGACAATAAAATGTGGAATTTGGATATGACTGATGCAATGCTGGAACCGGTAATAATTAACATTGGAGTTGAAGATTCCTTAGATTCTGAAGAAAGCAGTGAATCTGAAATGGAATTTGATTAAAATAATATCCATTTTTTTACAAATCAGCCCCTGTTAGGGCCACAAATTATTTTATATATAACCAATTAAATAAACATCTTACATTTCTTGCAAATTCATTAGTACCTGTTAATCTCCATCACTCCGACACTGGCAACTTTATTTAGGGATTAGTAACCCTCAAAACTATTGTATTCTATTCTGCTTCAACCTTTATACCTAGTGGTCATACTCAATTTAAAATTGTTTTCCTAGATTCTTCTGTAAACTTGTTGACAAATATCTATTTTTCATTGACTCACTCGTATCAACAGTTTAGGGATTTGCTTACATAAGGTGCTATCAATATGATGAAAATAGACTATAATCAATTTTAAAACATTTTAGTAAAATAAAACTGACAAGCTTACCTGAAAAGCGAATGCTATGATCTAAGGAAATGTGAGGTACTGCTTCCTTAAAGAATTGATATAAGTAGGATTTGGCAAGATATTTATAGGTTATTAAAAATAACCTAATTTTATCTTATCAGTAAAATTATAAAAATATTGAATATATTATAATACAGAAGACCACTTAACAATGAGTCATGTCTTATCATGGAGATTTTAAGAAATTACACCTACTGGCATATCAATCGGCCCACTTAACAATTTTGTGAGTAATTTTATTTATTTTTTAGAAATTATATTTAGTTAATATGTAATCTGTTGGTTATTTACATCGGTGACAAGACTGACTGTTACTTAAGGATTAGTATTTTGTACATAAAAGAAGCCTTACAGAAAAAAACTACTGGAACGGCATCGCTAGAGACTCACCTGTCTTTCTCCGCTGGAATTATATATTTCGGAGGTAGCCTTTGTGACCAACCTGAGATGTAAAGTGTAACGGCTAATTTGCCTACCACATGGGCTATTACTATAGGGAGTTGAAAATTCAAAACAGAAATTAGCATTTCTCGTCGCACCATCCTGAGTACACTATAACCTGGGGCGCCCGCATCAACTGCCGGAGGACGAATTTCAGTGCAATACACTGGTTCGACCGAGGGCGGGAGATGTGAGTGATACCAGTAAATTATAGTAATAAACGGGATAAGCAACGAGGAATTTTTAATAACATCAATAATCTACGCTTGCCACGGCCGCGCTCGCTCATCGACAGAATTTCAGTGCAATACACTGGTTCTGTGTTGACCGACAAGCGCGATTGTGAATTAAAGCGAAGACAGAGTAAGGAAAAACAGCAGTCTAAGTAATAGAAACGCTTAACCTCCGAAGACAATTGGCAAAACCAATTCTCAGCCTTAAAACCAATTCCACCCCGGACATTAACGGTAGAATAAACAAAACCCCCAAACAAACCAAAACAAACCCATTCCCTGAAGAGGCAAGAGTCTAAAACAGGGACTCTCTCAGACAGAGAGAGTAATAACGATGACACACACACACACACACAACAGAAATTACTGGGGTGGAGATAGCGAAAGCAAAACAAACCGGAACGTTTGCTAACGGCTACTCTGGGTTTGTTTGAAGTGCTGGGTCGTAGATAAGTAAATAACAAGGGGACTGGAATAGGCTAACTACAAAAATGAATCAAAATGGGTATTTACATGGATTTTTCTGGAAAACAGAACACAATAAAGTTCTAAAGCTATTTAAAATGGACGCTGCTTGCAAGAATCTTCATGCTGGATGAAAGAAAGGCTTTTCTTTTTTAAAAAATATATAAAAAAGGGAGGAGAAATAAATACTCTTGGTTTAGAGAGAAAAATTATATACTTATTGTTATCTCACCAGAAACAGTTACCAATAAAAATAATAATAATAAAATACAACACAAGTTACAACGTTGCTATCAGTTTACATATCTAGACGTTGTACACACTAATTTGAGAAAGTC